TCACCATCACCACCATCATCGCCATCACCACCATCACCACCATCATCGCCATCACCACCATCATCACCATCACCATCATCGCCTTCATCACCATCACCACCATCATCGCCATCATCACCATCACCACCATCATCACCATCACCACCATCATCGCCATCACCACCATCATCACCATCACCACCATCATCACCATCACCATCATCGCCTTCATCACCATCACCACCATCATCGCCATCATCACCATCACCACCATCATCACCATCACCACCATCATCACCATCACCACCATCATCGCCATCACCACCATCACCACCATCATCGCCATCACCACCATCATCGCCATCATCTCCATCACCACCATCACCACCATCATCATCATCGCCTTCATCACCATCACCACCATCATCACCATCATCCCCGTAACCCCCTCCCCTTCCCTCACCCTCCTCCTACCTCCCCTTATATTCGTTCATTTCCCTACTTCTGACTAAACCAAATGATCGACTGATTCATTCAATTTACTCACGGCTTTATTCATCACGTCCTCTCTAAGGATGAGTTGGTGACTCGCGATGTATCAGTAAGCCAGCCATTTATTTTGCTTATTTTCGTAATAGATCGACTGACTCATTTTTTTTACTCACGAACGCCTTTCCATTAAGCTCAGTTTACTCAACATCTACTCCCTATCTCCTGCTTCCCTAATAATGTGGCGTTAATTAAGTCCTTTCGTATTCTTAGTTAATTGTCCACATCATTTTATTCACATTTTGTACGAAAAAGAAAAGGAAAGTCGATACTCACGTCTCCTGTTTTATATTTACTCATTTACTCACGCGTCCAAATTGACGTGGTGTTGAACATGTCTCCATTTCGCTTCTTTCTTAATAAACCAGACAATTACTCCTTTTCATCGACTCATTTACTCACCTACCACTTTTCATCGACTCATTTACTCACCTACCACTTTTTTTTCTCCCTCTAAAAGGACTGCTGACTCACGCGTTCCTTACTTGACTTTTAATACTCATCTAATGTACTTTGGATTGACTCACGATCCATGTTCACTGACTCATTCACTTCTATTTCCCTTTCCCACTCCCTGTGGTGCTGACTCGTTCATCTACAAACCATATTCATTTATTCACTCAAAAAAAGTAAAAAGAAAAATCGATGAACTTATTTCTCCCGGCCCCCCACTATATCACCCCCCCCCCCCCAACTTAAATGATGTGGTGCTACCTCACTGCGTGTTCTTAATCAACCAACCACATTCATGTATCGATTTACCCCTTTCTTTACTCACTTACTCATCCCTTCCCTTTCTCCCCCCCTTCCTCCTCCTCCCCCTCCCCCCTCCAAGGAAGTGGTGCTGACTCACGACGTGTTCCTCCTGAACGTGGGCGACCTGCGCATCACCAACGACCCGCGAGTTGATGTCGTTTCCGGAACCAGCGGCGACGGGACCAGACTCGTCTTCCTAAACATCGCGCAGGTAAATTGGTCGTTTGCGGTTGTCAGTTGGGTGGTTGGTGTTTGTTTTTGTTTTGTTTGTTTGTATTTTGTTAATTTTGTTTGTTTGATGTTCACGGAACCAGCGGCAACGGGACCAGGCGCATCTGGTTGCGTTTATGCATTTGTTTATCTTGTGGGTGTATATGCTTCGTTTGTTTCCGCGTGTGCTTATGTGTTTGTGGTACATATGAAAGGATCTGGGATCTGTCTGTTTCTTTCATAAAATGATAGTTGACCTGCAGTTTGAACAATAATCGGATCACTTTTTTTTTATATATTAATTATTCATTCATTTACCTATTACCTTATGTATTTGTTTATGTATATTTGCTTTTATGTAAATTTATCCATTTATCGTTAGTTTGTTTATAGAGTAATTCATTTGTTTATGTACATTTTTCATCTATGTTACTTTTTACGGTTATCAGTGCCATTATTATAAATGTAATATTAAATTTACAACTGTATTTAGCTTTCATAATCCTTAATGCTATCATTATTATAATTATTTGAATATCCTAATTACCTTAACTATTCTATAATCTCATTAGGTTCTTATTACCATCTTCAATTAACTCATCAACAATCTTATTAACCTTAGAAAGGAATGCGTGGTACAGAGCTGTTACGTCCCCCCCCCCCCCTTAGGGAGGAAGCAGCGAGGAATGAAAAGAGGACTTTTAGGAAGAGATCTATGATTCCAGGAAGAACTGCATGAGGTCTTGATGTCTGCGAAGGAGAATGAGTAGGTTTTGTTATGAGGAATCATGAAGGGTCATGTTGGTGTGAGAGCGCTGAGGGGCGGGAGGACGCGCCGTTGTGGATTAGGAATTTGTAAAGGGAAGAGGAAAATATGTCGGGAATGGGAACGAGTGCGTGGTTTAAGCTTCTCAAATGCCAGATATAAGAGAGGAGAGACTAATCTTGTTATTTGCAGGGCTGGAGGGAGGAACTCGAGCTGATTAAATGATGATGTAATGCAAAATCGGTACTGTGTATAGACCTTATGAGAGTGTAGAACGGTTATGGGGGAAAATACGCTTAAATAAAATTAGAGAAACAGATTAAAATGAAGGTGGTTTAAACTTAAAGAGGAGAGAGATGAAGTTCGCGTACACAGAGGAACTCGGAAATTAATGAAAAGAAAGTTGAATAAAATCTAAAAATTTACTGGACGTAGACTGAGAGAGGTTGGGAGAGGAAGCACGTGATAGAATCGTGGAGCAGAAAGGATGGAGATAGGGAGTTAGGGAAAAAAAAAACATTATTTACGAGAGGACAGGGTAGAATAGGAAGAAGAGAGCAATGGCTATGGTGAGAAACTGCAACGGCCAGGGTGTATATAGACCTGGAAACGCAGGGAGGGCGGATAAACGTCTTTAGAAAAACGGAGGTAAAAATATGGAAAGAAAAGACACCGGAAGTATGATAACAATAAAGAATATAGACACACACGCACGACGAACAACATGCAGGGAAACTCGCGTGACAAACATACATAAAGAAATTAAATAAAAGAGATTGCAGAAGCTACATAGACGTAGATGAGAAAGCAAAATGTGTATCCCTGACGGAGAATAACTGGAACCGAAGCTCTCTGGGCCGTGAAGGAAGGAGAGACCAGGAGCGAGATGGAGGGAAGTGCCAGGGAAGAATACGACGGAGGCTGGGCAGGCGAGAGTGTATGGCCGGGAGAGGAGACGGCGGAAGAAAGGATTGCTTCTTCTTTCCGGCGATCTCTCCTGCCGAAAAGAAAAGGAGGGAAAGGTTGACACTCTTATCCCTTGCCTTACAACCCTGGCAATGTTATTTAGTGAAACACACCGTAATTCATGATAACTTCTTCTCTTTCATTCTATAATATTTGATGATTTCATTGTGTTCTGACTTAGTTCTTAGGCTAAATCTTCCTCACCCTTACTCCTTAAAAATTTCATTTGGAACTTACTGGCTCTAAAGCCCTTAATTCTATCACTAAATTCTTTCTTACAGGATACCCTTAAACCTTCCACCGGGTTCTGTCTCACCCTAAATCCCTGATAATCCTAGTGGGTTCTTCTGTACCCAAAACCGTTAATCCTTCCACCGGGTTCTTCCTCATCTTAAAACAATAAAAATCCTAGTGGGTTCTTCCCCACCCCAAATCCGCAATAATCCTAGTGGGTTCTGCCTCACTCTAAGCCCTAATCCTACCACTAGGTTCCCGCTAAGCCCTTAATCCCACCACTAGGTTCCCGCTAAGCCCTCGCAATTGCCTTTCCAGGTGCGGCCCGAGGACGGCGGCGAGTACCGCTGCGAGACGTCCACGGAGCCGCCCGCCTCCGCCACCTGGATCGTCAGCGTCGTCCCGGCCGGCGCGCTCGCAGGTGACCGTCGGGCCTGGGGGGGGGGGGGTTATAGACAGGGACAGATATGCACACAAGCATGAGGGCAAACAAAGACAAAGGCAAACAAAAAGGCAAATAGACACACACACACACACACACACACACACACACACACAAACACGCACACACACACACACACACACACACACACACACACACACACACACACACACACACACACACACACACACACACACACACCCGCACACACACGGACACACACACGCACACGCACACGCGCACACGCACACAAACCAAAAGATCATACAGTACCCTAAGGAGCCACTTCTCTTGCACGATCAAACAGCTGCAGCACACACTTCCTCATCCAGTCTGAGTAAGGATACTCCATTCATTCTCATTTTACTGTGTTTGCCGAATTTTCCTCGGCAAACGAAAGGCATGAGTCACAGTAATATCAATGAATAAGGAAGCAGCCACAGATAAGTCGCAGAGATGATAAAGATGATGATAAAGATGATGTGGAATAAGAAACACGTGGCTTAAGAAAAAAAAAGAGGCAGGGACGTGGTTAAACATATTCACCATATTCATTTGATCCCCTGAATAGATAAATGGAAAAGTCATTGTATTTTCTTCTCTTCATAGATTACCCACTACTTTTGGGGGAGCATCTTCACCGCCCCACCCCTCTATAGTAAAGGCTTAGTCCCTCTTTCAAGGATTCGTCTTAACCGAGGATTGTTAGAGTGATGGCGAAGGAGAAGGAGAGTTGCAAATGATCAGTCCGCTATGTGGTGGTGGTGGTCCAGGATTTTTCTTCGGTGACGCCCCTAAGAAACCACATGGATACGTTAGACTGATAGGAATGAATGAAGAACCATCCATAGGAATACGTCAGACTGATAGGAATTGAATAATGAACCATCCAGAGTAATATATTAGACTGATAGGAATTGAATAAGAAAACCATCCATAGGAATACGTTAGACTGATAGGAACTGAATAAGGAACCATCCATAGGAATACGTCAGACTGATAGGAATTGAATAATGAACCATCCAGAGTAATATATTAGACTGATAGGAATTGAATAAGAAAACCATCCATAGGAATACGTTAGACTGATAGGAACTGAATAAGGAACCATCCATAGGAATACGTCAGACTGATAGGAATGAATAATGAACCATCCAGAGTAATATATTAGACTGATAGGAATGAATGAAGAACCATCCAGAGGAATAGGTTAGACTGATAGGAATGAATGAAGAACCATCCATAGGAATACGTCAGACTGATAGGAATTGAATAATGAACCATCCATAGGAATATATTAGACTGATAGGAATGAATGAGGAACCATCCATAGGAATACGTCAGACTGATAGGAATTGAATAAGAAAACCATCCAGAGGAATAGGTTAGACTGATAGGAATGAATGAAGAACCATCCATGGGAATACGTCAGACTGATAGGAATTGAATAATGAACCATCCATAGGAATACGTTAGACTGATAGGAACTGAATGAGGAACCATCCAGAGTAATATATTAGACTGATAGGAATGAATGAAGAACCATCCATAGGAATACGTCAGACTGATAGGAATTGAATAATGAACCATCCAGAGTAATATATTAGACTGATAGGAATTGAATAATGAACCATCCAGAGTAATATATTAGACTGATAGGAATTGAATAAGAAAACCATCCAGAGGAATAGGTTAGACTGATAGGAATGAATGAAGAACCATCCATGGGAATACGTCAGACTGATAGGAATTGAATAAGAAAACCATCCATAGGAATACGTCAGACTGATAGGAATTGAATAAGAAAACCATCCATAGGAATACGTCAGACTGATAAGAATTGAATAAGGAACCATCCATAGGAATATGTTAGACTGATAGGAATGAATGAGGAACCATCCATAGGAATACGTTAGACTGATAGGAATTGAATAATGAACCATCCAGAGTAATATATTAGACTGATAGGAATGAATGAAGAACCATCCATAGGAATACGTTAGACTGATAGGAATGAATGAAGAACCATCCATAGGAATACGTCAGACTGATAGGAATTGAATAATGAACCATCCAGAGTAATATATTAGACTGATAGGAATGAATGAAGAACCATCCATAGGAATACGTCAGACTGATAGGAATTGAATAATGAACCATCCAGAGTAATATATTAGACTGATAGGAATTGAATAATGAACCATCCAGAGTAATATATTAGACTGATAGGAATTGAATAAGAAAACCATCCAGAGGAATAGGTTAGACTGATAGGAATGAATGAAGAACCATCCATAGGAATACGTCAGACTGATAGGAATTGAATAAGAAAACCATCCATAGGAATACGTCAGACTGATAGGAATTGAATAATGAACCATCCAGAGTAATATATTAGACTGATAGGAATTGAATAATGAACCATCCAGAGTAATATATTAGACTGATAGGAATTGAATAATGAACCATCCAGAGTAATATATTAGACTGATAGGAATTGAATAATGAACCATCCAGAGTAATATATTAGACTGATAGGAATTGAATAATGAACCATCCAGAGTAATATATTAGACTGATAGGAATTGAATAATGAACCATCCAGAGTAATATATTAGACTGATAGGAATTGAATAATGAACCATCCAGAGTAATATATTAGACTGATAGGAATTGAATAATGAACCATCCAGAGTAATATATTAGACTGATAGGAATTGAATAATGAACCATCCAGAGTAATATATTAGACTGATAGGAATGAATGAAGAACCATCCATAGGAATACGTCAGACTGATAGGAATTGAATAATGAACCATCCAGAGTAATATATTAGACTGATAGGAATTGAATAAGAAAACCATCCAGAGGAATAGGTTAGACTGATAGGAATGAATGAAGAACCATCCATGGGAATACGTTAGACTGATAGGAATTGAATAAGAAAACCATCCATAGGAATACGTTAGACTGATAGGAATTGAATAAGAAAACCATCCATAGGAATACGTCAGACTGATAGGAATTGAATAATGAACCATCCAGAGTAATATATTAGACTGATAGGAATTGAATAATGAACCATCCAGAGTAATATATTAGACTGATAGGAATTGAATAATGAACCATCCATAGGAATACGTCAGACTGATAGGAATTGAATAATGAACCATCCAGAGTAATATATTAGACTGATAGGAATTGAATAATGAACCATCCAGAGTAATATATTAGACTGATAGGAATTGAATAATGAACCATCCAGAGTAATATATTAGACTGATAGGAATTGAATAAGAAAACCATCCATAGGAATACGTCAGACTGATAGGAATTGAATAATGAACCATCCAGAGTAATATATTAGACTGATAGGAATGAATGAAGAACCATCCATAGGAATACGTCAGACTGATAGGAATTGAATAATGAACCATCCAGAGTAATATATTAGACTGATAGGAATTGAATAATGAACCATCCAGAGTAATATATTAGACTGATAGGAATTGAATAAGAAAACCATCCATAGGAATACGTTAGACTGATAGGAATGAATGAAGAACCATCCATAGGAATACGTTAGACTGATAGGAA